GAGCTTTTGGTGGGGCCTGCCTAAGATGATACTAGGATCTTTTAGGAAGCTCTTAAGCCTTATTCCGTAACAGAAGCCAATTAAGAAGATGCCACGCCCAGATATGTCTCGTGTTCAAATGTTGCAGATGTTCTAAATAATCACATAATCCTTGAAAGATGCATAATAGTTCAAAATTACATGACTAAGGTACGGAGGGGCGTTTAAAACAGAACTGCCACGTTGTTCAATTTCGGCGTAAACAATGTATTTTTCTAATTCTGCGAAATTGCTAATCCAGAACTACATAGTCCGCAACATAATACACTATACGTATATATGTTTTCTATAGGATAGGATAGGAGATAGTAACATCTGCGTAAACCTAACATCGCTTAGTAACGTTAACTTTACCTGCCCCGTCGTGCCCCGGAAACCGTTATCCCTAGCTGTTAGACACCAGACGAAATAACATACAATAGTTAATCATATTCATCTGACGAATCGAATTTTACGTGCCTTTAATTATCGAATAATAATGTTTGATAATGTCTACTTTAGTGTGCGATCCAGAGACAGAATATAAACTGAAACATATTTTTGAATTTTCCTTGCAGTCTGACTATAGGACGCACTTTGCAGTCTATTTCGATACCTGAGTTCTCCTTACACTAAAAAAAAACTGACGAAAAAACACGCTGCCTCTAAAAAGAACAGTATCCTGTCGAAAAGACGAACTTTACCAAAGTCATAGATAAAATACAATGCGTAGCTTGTGGTTATGGGTGCCCAATAAATGCGCAAGGCATCAGTGTAACTTTTAAAAAAAAACTCCTGGCATGGTTTGCTATCGAAGCTTCCTGACGTTAAACGCTGAAGCTCACATACGGTAGAGAGCTACCGTGTGCAAAAAAACGGCACATCTTATTGCTTACGGGAAGTTGCTTAACCTCCTTAGCGGGTGAAAATACTGGAAGTTTAAGTTGCACTTAAAAATCTATTGTACACTAATAATAATAAGCATTATTGCTGTTTTATTATATCAGCCATTTTTTCTAAGGTTCTAAAATATCCAATATCATTATGATTATTATCAGGGCTTTAAGATAACTTTTATATGTATATATATATGTATATATATATATATTACATTCGAGGTTGAATAACCTCGAATAAGACGTAAGAATAAGATCGAAACAAATAGAAAGACGCTTACTTTACTTTCGATACGCCGATTAGCATACTCAACCATACTCAACAGTAGTGTTATATTATACGATACCCACAATCGTTGAAGGAAATCAAGTCGGTGGTTCTCAGCAATTTTGTCTATTGTAAATGGTCCATCCCTAGCAGTCTTTAGGGAAAGGTTCGACGCCTGAAGGGCCTTACGTTACGACAACGATGGTCATGGTAAGACAAACCAAAGTAAACAATTTGCTCGTCAACGACTGTGGAATAATTTTCAAAGGAAGGCTATGATGAAGTAGCTGAACTATTTGCATATTTTTCGCTGAAGTGGGTTTCAGTATGATATCTTAGTTAGGCTGACCACTATCGCATGACTCGACGCTCTCTCCGGAACATCAATTTTGTCTTGTTTTTAATTTCTTACCTATTATCGACGAACTAGCTTTACCACTCGACAACGCTAACCTTATTCATTATTTAAAATCTTCCAGCAAGCATTCTACGTAATTGTTCGGCCGTCCGGTGGCACATTTTCGCATTTCTATATTTCAGCATCGCTTATGGTCTCCCAGGTTACTCCTTCATTCAAAAACAATAGCAGCCATTATAGCTCAACAAATTATAACTCATTTCTTGTATCCGGGGCCTTTTCAAGTGGGTTATAATAAATGTGTCAAACATCAGCTTTAAGGTCATTACATTTTTTCAAATTCTCTATGGTAACTACACTGGCCTTTCTCGCGATGGGGCATATGCCTTCCTCGAAGTCTCCATTGACGTCGCAAAGGCGGTATTTACCACGATATCTTTTTAGAAATAATTAGTTACGATGATTATTTTCCCGCAGTTCGCGATTAGTTAAAATTTTCTCTGGCCAATCGTTTCTGAAGTGTACGCATTGGTAATGCGGTGTTGAACGACACATTACAACGTGGGCTTCCGTCTAAAGTCCATGTATATTTATCCCTTATACAGATCCACTGCTCCTTTACATTGTAACCCGTGAAAACAGACTACGCTGCCGAACCTCAGAGTCAAATTCATGAATCGTTTCTAACCTACCATATCTATGACTTGGAAATTTTGACTGGCAGATATTGAAAATAGTTATGATTCACCCGATCTTTCTGTAAAAATGATTAAAACTTAATGTGTTCCCTTTAAAATCTTTCAATGCTTCTTGATAACAAGGCACTTTGGCTTGACAATTGGATAAAGATTAGATTAAACTGAGCATTTTCTCATATACCAGTCCCAAACGTTGTGCTTGCATTGCTAGGTTTTCGATATATGGGTTCCACCAACACATGCCTCTCTATTTTTAAATATCCCGCCTTGTATCGATGTTTACGAACGCTGTTGTTGTGGCTTAAGGCACTCTCTCACCGTTTGAATATAGCATCAACGATCTACTGTGATTCAATTCGGACCATTTTTCAGTTATCAAAATCGGCTCGCATATGAAATCCTTTCAATGTCTAACCAGTTCTTACAGTTTCGCAATTAAAGACGCCTCGAGTTGATGTGCAAATAATTGCATGTGCAAAATTACATCTGACCTCTAGCGTCGCCAGCCTTGTAACCGCCCTTTTAGAAATTACCATAAGACGCTGTTAGCTCAATCAACGGAGTGCAGGAACTACGCGGTAAATTCTGCGCTTGAGCAACACAAGTATATTTGGATAGGATGTCACTCAGTATCATCTTATATCCGTTGTATAGGAAAAGTACTCCGCGTAGAGTTGCTAACATCTATTAAATGTCGTCTGCACTAATTTAATGTCAACGCCTATTTGGGTATTTCTATGTGTTACTTTTATGAAATAACAGTCTCATTCAATTCTTGGTTGATCTGTTACTTAAAAGCAGGCCCGGTGATAGGTAGAGGATAATGCCAATCTCAAAGACACGCATGTTCCATCCTGACCTAGGGAGAATTCGTTTCGTGCTAGGAGACAGCCTCGAATGCCTAACAACGAAGCCGGAACACGAAACAGAATGATCTCTCTAAACCGATGCGGTCTTGGGGCACGTATGTTTGAATCAAGTTTATTTGAATTGAATACATACTATCAGTAGAATCATATTTATTCACCTTTACTAGTAATACACGCTAACAGCTTATCAAGATGAAAAACAATATAGAATCATTTAGAATTCTTTACGTTGGTCTGGTTTAATAAAACAAATTTGGGATTTGCCAGAAATTTCGAATGCGGTAGGAAAGTTGTCTGTTCGGTATCGCTTATAGGCGTCCGATCAGACGGCTGACTCGTTGGCTGGCTCCCAGCACAAAAACAATGTCTGTCTACGGGCGGATTCGAACCTCGACCACAACGTGAGCGTAAGATTAGCATGCCACTACACGTTTCTATACGTTCCTCAAGGCGTCTGAACCAAGGAAATCCCTACGAATCTCCGTGAATTCTCGCTCTCAGTTTTATGGTTAAAGGCCCTGTTTGCTGAGGGCTCAAAGAAATGGCGTAGGTTTTTTGATGGTAGTGGCGAGTCGGCTAGGAGATTCAAATATCTAGCCTATCATAAATCCTATGAACGGCTTGCTACTAATCTCTTTTGCTGATCAGAACAAACACATTCCAATACCGTTCATGCACCGCTTTAGATCACTTAATAGATGATGTTTCCAAAAACACTATAGCTAAAAATATACAATAGGTATTTGTATTAGCTAAAAAATAATAACATAATATCATATGTTCTGTTTCTTTAATCAGTTTATTTTCTAATTAAGTAACGGTACTTGATACAACATGGATTTATGGATAGCAACACTATTATTCGTGGTAGTACGTACTAAATAAGTCAACCTGCTGTAAAAATGGTAGAAGACTAAATTTGCAAAAGTGGACCAATGCGCATTGAAGACGAGTTCACACCAACGGAACCGTAAATCTTTTGTGTATTACGACTAAACAAAAAAAAAAAACATTTCTGTCGGGTCGGGTCGGGTCGGGTAACTAGAAGAAGATTTGATTGTCCAACATGTGATGAACGCCACAATGACGATTTTGTCATAATTGAGTTTGACTTAACCATAAGCGGACGCACCTCGCCGAGCACCTTTAGGCTCGAACAACTCCCTAAAAGTATAATCATCGTATTGGCACTAAACAACTTGTTAGCAGCGTCATCCGCGTTATTTTCCTGTGGTGATGCCCACGCTCTTGGTACGTGACTGTACGGTCACTTAATAATTAGTTATGATGCAAATCACAATTCGAACGGGGCAGGATTCAACTCTAGTGCGCCCTATGCGGAGGTCGGCATCTCAAATAGCTCAACGCATTATAAGGAACAGGGAACAGTCTGTGTCCATCAAGTTGTAAACCAGTTTTCCATATGTCATAGTGTGAAAATTACACTTTGATCAAAAAGTTGCCTAGATATATCTATCAGCATTTATAAATATCAAGAAGATGATAAATCTATGGGCTTTACATTTCGATACACTGTAGAGTTCACGCTCTCAGCGGGAGATAAATTGGTTTTTCAAACAAGTGGAAAGGTGACTGGTAGGCGAGCATGACGTCGTAGAATCCGGTCCTTCCTCCGCTTTGATCGCCACCACCAATTTCTGTCGCTCTCCCCCATTTCTATTCATACAATTCAACTCATCATATCGGAAGACATAGCTGGGGTGTTCCCCCGCTGTGCGTACCTGTGCACGATGTGTTTCCAACACAGACTTGTCCTATTAAGTTTTTGAGTTGACTACAACAATGGATCCGCGGTTGACGTCGATGGCATCTGAGACCTATGCGCTGCCGCGGTTGAAACGTATAAAGGGTCCGCGTCTTCGCAGTAGCCAACGCAGATCTACTCGGGTTTTGGAGTCAACTCTTGCTTCGCGAGGTGGAGACTCCGTGTTACTCATCTAGGCCTGAACAGCGAGTAAGAGGAAGATTCGGTAGGATATTAGCAGCCATTACTGGACCGTATTATTTTTTCTACGTTGGGTAGTGTTATTTTCTGGTAAAATGAAGCTTCACGTACTCGTACTAGCCAACATTGTCGGCCTTAGCCTGACCTGTTTCATCACAAATTGTCCTATTGGTGGAAAACGCTCTGATACTGGATTCGGGCTCGTACAGTTTTCGAGTGACTTCCGTAAGGTGAGCATATCAAAATAGAGATCAAACATATCTATTTAGAAAATCTATAGTCGCCATTACTGACAAGGGGATGCGTATCAATAGTGCGCAAGTAGGTTATACGCTGTCAGTTCCAGCGGGATAAATCAATAGGTTTAGAATACAGAAGGCAATGTAGTACCTACCATGTGTAGTCAGACGAACAGACATGGAAGCTTTAAACATTGACCTAAAAGAACTAAAAGGCCGAAGAGGTTTATCACCAAATCTTTGTATAGTAACATACTGATTTCCTTATAAAACGGCGGCAGCAACATTTTGCGTGTTAAACATTAAAACGACGCAGTGCTTTCCTATTGAATGTTAAAGAAAATGAATTTTGTGTTCGAATCATGTCTCCTTTTAGAGGCCGCCCGTATTAAAGTAGATACGGAGATAACAGTCGAAATGATAAGGATGATGTCCTGTACCAGATCTTATTCTGGTTCGATAGATGTGTTGCTAGCTACAATAACGTTATAATTTCAGACCAATATCGATATCATCCCCTAGTTACTATGCAGTGAAAAACAAACTGTAAAGTTATAGTAAATGTCATTCATTTCGTGCCAAACATGATTGCTACCAAATTTTTCAATAACGATGCGAAAATGATAGGTTAGTGGATTTTTAATACGGCCCCAGATCATTTCTTCTCATCGTAAAGCAAATGTACTCACGGTAGCAAACGTACCAGCTACTCATTCGGTACGATCTAACATCCAAATATACGTAATATTTGATTCTGACTCTTGACTGACGCTCTAAAATTTAGGCCTATGTCGTACTACTTTCGATTGCATTGTTATACAACTGGCGTAGTAACGTTTGTGTAGTACTCACAGTGTCCACCGTGTGGTCCTGGATCAACTGGCCAATGCTTCGGGCCTAATATTTGCTGCAATTCGGAGAGCTGTCTAATTGATGCGGGAGACAGTCCTCACCTAAGGTCATGCAAGAGAGAGGCCCTTAAATTGAAACCTTGCACCAATACAGGCATGCGCTGTGGATCCGAAAATAAAGGCCATTGTGCCCTAAACAGATTCTGCTGTACGTCAGGTAAGAACGAACGCTTAACGAATTAATAAAATGAATTAGATTTTTTTCTGGAAGTATGCGCCTTTAGAATAATCAACAGTCCGTACTCAAATTAGGTTTGCTTCAGCAGTCATTCTCATCGACTCTTTTTGTAGCCAAACGTCCTTCAGCCACTATCTAATGTAACGTCATCATGAAGTCGGCTCGTAATTAATGCGCGAACGTTTGCTTTGCACCTGCGCATATGCTGTACAGCGTTGATAATTACCGTGGTTGTACATAAAGGGTATTTCAGTAAACATGGTGCTGCTTTCTGGTAAGAGAAATGTGTATCATCACCATAATATTGTTAGTGGCAGTTGTAGCACTAGTAGATATCTTTACGTTTAATGGAAAGGAAAGGCAATCTGCTTATTATGACCGCAACCGGCGGTCGCACTGTTCCCATTTCCTTTTGAATTGTTTCTTTCCATCCCATAGTTGTAACGCCAGCGACAATAGGCAAAGATGGAGATCGTTTTACCAGCAGCTTAATCTTGAAAGAGTAACATCAAACTTTTAGAGAAGGCTGATGACAGACAGGCAGGCTACGATGACCTTTTGGTGTCACTTTTCACGGATAAAACCAGTTAAGTCCTACACTTCTATTCCCTGTTCATTTCCGTCTTTTCCCTTCTACGGTACTACAGTATGCAATTGTTATTGTTTTATCACGTAGCCTATAGCGCACTTAGAGAAAAATATTATTATTTTGTTATCCAAAGCCAGAAAAAAAAGCGCGGTGTGCCAATGGTTGATGCACGTTAAATTATAACATGTCTGCGTGCGTATTAGTTCTCCTCCATAGCCTGTCACCGTTGAATCATTTGAACTGAGCGCTACAAATTTGAGATATACTATAAATCGAAGCTCTGCTATTATGTTTCGATGTCAACTTTTAGAGGGCTGCATGGTCGATGAAGCTTGCAACGGTAAAGACCACGACGTCATCCGCGAGTCGTTGATGATCATCTAAGTCGCCGGTGTAGCACTGCGTATATCACTAACGCACCTAAGGGGAACAACAGCATTTCCGAAATAGACATCTTATAATCAACAGCGACGGTCTGCTGTAGTGCCGATGTGTCACGCCCAACGGGACAGAGTTCGACCCACATAATGAAAACCGTCGCTTCTGGGACAGCAAAAAAATCATTCAGAGACAAGTCGTTTCCACGTAACCGAAGGCCGTATCACAAAAGTTTGTTTATAATCGATTGCTGATTGGGATTCTATATAAGGATTGAAGCCTTAAGTGCAGAGTTGGCTCCTTAACATCACTAAATCAATGTCAACCAGCCATCGAATTATAATACGGAACAGCCTTCATTAGAACCAATAGTGGCGATGATAATGATTATTCTAATAACGATGGAGCGTTGATAAAACGGTCATCGCGTATACACCGCGGTCGGTTAGCCGACAGATCAACCAGCTTTGCTTATACTGACAACATTCGGCGAGCTTAGAAGAAAGCTGTCTGTTTCATGTACCGTCCGGTTGTCAGTCTTGTAAAAAAAAAAAAGTAAATAAAGGAACATTAACAAATCTAGCACCGCCATTTAGTTTTAACTATCTGTTGTTAACTATCGGTGTTATTTCGACTCAGCAATTATTGATAATGTATAATATTCATTAGAAATTAATAATAAGTTTATTTATTCGTCTGCTTAAGTAGGTAAAGCAGACGAACAGATAATATAATCAATAAAATACGTATCTAGATATGGTTTATACAGTTATCTCATGAGGCCAACTAAAGCCGAATAAAGTAAATAGTATTATTTTTTCTATTAAACGCCAGCCTTAACTGAAAGCGAGAAATTTATCATTAGAATGGTCATTAAAACGTTGCGGGTGAAGTATCACAGTGAATAACTAATAGAGAGATAGGCGCATAAGTTAACTGATATTAGTTGGATAACCGAATTTCCATTGTTGACAAACAGACATGCATCATGCAACCTATCGACACTTTTAATCAACCTAGCCTAACCTTACGCATTTGGTCAATTGCAATAATAAAATTTTTCAAAAAGGCACGAGCATGTCGCTTGCAAAGGTCATCGAGTTGCCTAGAATACTATCAAACAAGCAAAAGACGCGGTACAGGGTACAAAAGAACGCTTTGTATTAAGAGGGAACGTAGCTCCGCAGGTTTAGAGGTTCATTGTTAATACCAACTTTTGTTTTCTTTGCGATAAAGAAAAACGTAATTTTGTCGATGGTAGCTCTGAGCAGCGCGTTCGCACAGATGCTTCATGTTCATGTCCGTGAAATTGGCCTAAATCGGCATTACTGGTAGATTTTGGCCTATCTGGCAACGTAACCAGGAACAGCACGCTTCTTCATTTCTGTTTTGTGGTTGACTGTCGGCTGAAAACTAAGTTTTGGCGTCGTTCCATTATGACCACACAAGTTGCTAGTTCCGCTTCTAGTATAAACACCACAGATTTGATGTTTTGTCGATAACTTATAACATACTGTTACAATATGCCTGTCACGAGTTATCGTCAATGTCAAAATATATTTATCTATTCAGAGCTTAGCGCGAGTAAGCAGAAATGTCTGGCAGTGAAACATTTTACTATTTATTTTAATAGCGAATTATCAATAAGTTGACGTTAAACAATGCTATTGTCATATCCTTTTTTCGTGACGGGTCATCGAGTAACGAGATAAAAATGGCTCGCCAGCATCGATCCATACAAACTATATAACCTCCCACAGATTATCACGAACAGATCCTATCATTACAATCATTTACTAGCACCAGATCCGTGCCAATAAGGCCTTCGAAGCAAGATTTTGTCTCTAGAATTCATAAAAAGCTTTGTGTTTGGTTCTTCCTCTTTTTTTTAGGTTGGTCCAACAATGTGTGTGTACTGTTACAACGACATGCGTCGTAACAGGCCCATCTGCATCTGAAACTGAGTTTCAACTCCGACAACAAGCAGGTAGTTCGAATATTTTACCGACGCCATCGGCAAAACCATACGAGGTCATTATCGAAGGAATCGGAAAGTGACAGTATCTGCTATATGACGGTGAAGTCTAACAGAAGTGCAGGTCGTTGAAGTGCTGACGATTGGTGAATGTAGGACCCCAGATACCGTTCTGTCCTTTTTTTGGGTCATCCTTTGAACGCTCCTGCTGCTGTTTATAGGCAGCTCGATATTCGACCTTCTTTTCCTTCGGAATAACGGATTCCACACTCGTCTTCCTAAACGTTAAGATGATACATTTTGATATCTTAATAATGCTCGAATACGTTGCCCGATTAACGGTAATGAAAGCTTAATAATTAACATTAATTTGTCCTGTTCGTTATAATATAATACAAATGTTTTAGGGTAAACTATAAAGAAACTGTAAAGAAACTATAAAGAAAGACAAACATTTTTAAAAAGTGAAAAATTGTCGGTGTGTGGTGATTTATAGCGTGTTAATAACAAAGGTGACAAATCGAAACGCGGCCAGCTTCGTGTAACAAAATGGCGGAAACAAAATAATGGGCAGCGAACAAATTATATGCGTTTATTCAGTGGAATTCGTTTAGCAGCTAAATTAGACGCAAATGACAATTTCTAATACGTAAAGTCAATCCAGGATCTTGGCATAAATCTTACGCTGTGCAAAAAAGATTATTCGACTAGATATATATATATATATATGTATGTATAAATGTCATGTTACCTGAGAGCGGGAGTCTGGAAGTCAGCAGACGGGCGCATATTGATGCGAACTACGCTTTTAGTGGTAAGAGAACGATGAAGAAGATCTGTTCGAGAACTAATCTGTGGGGTGCCGGCAGTAAAATGACAACTGGTTCAATCGATTAGTGGCCTGTGTACTCCTAAGAACGTGCGTCAGAGAAATATACGCATTATATTAAAAGCCCCTCTTTTCAGTCGCCCCATATAACTAGATCTTTCCTGCAAAGAAGCCCGCTCTCGTCTTCATTAGTTAACGCAACAAACTTCACCACATAAGGCAGCCTCTGGTAATTTTTTAGTCGCCCGCTTCTGCATGGCGATCGAAGACGGCTGAACAAAATAACCAAAAATAACTATTTTTAAAAGTGACTAACTATCCCTAGGGATTTTAAAAGAAGCTTCCTGTATTTGCCGGTGGTTATCCATTAGTTGTCATGCTCGAGACCATTAAACAGACGGCAACTATTTTGACGAAAATGAACGATCCTCTCACAGACCTGTGCGATCCGAAATCAGTTAATCATCTACACGCTATGTCATAGACGCCTAAATTCGGGTTATTAGTGCAGAAGAGATAAGCTCGGGAAGATATTACAAGCTGCTAGTCCATAGACAGGATAAAGCGTTGGGTATCTTTCTGCTTACGTCCACCTTGTCCAGTAACTGTGGCAAGCTCATATTGACTTGTGTTTAATGGATCTCTAATTGTTATTATTCGATTACTGCACAGTCTACTATAAGCGAAACACATACTTTCAGGGCACGTGATGAAGAAGAGAAAGCACTCGTAACTCGAGGGTGTTTCCGGCGTTACCAAGCCGAGAGCCCTTGCAAAGGAGTAGAGATGCAGAATCAGCCACCTGGACTGTCGGGAAAAGCTCAGTGCGCATTCAGAACTTGACAGGGCTAAACTCGAATAACGTACACCCTCTTGCTAAGCTGATTCAAGTTGCGAAGCTTGGTAGATAGACTATAAAGACGCAACCAATATTAGAGCAATATTTATACAGGATGTCCCTTGCCATGTCCCGAAAAGAAAGGGAACTGCTGCGGTTTTATCGGTACTCGCGTGAGGCAAGGGGCGGATGCTACGGCAGTCTTCTCAAGGAGAGAATGTGTTTGTACAACCGAAAGTGACGCGATTTTCGTCCGGAGAAAAAACGATGCGGAAAGACGTGATGCTAGTTATTCGAGGGATCGGCTATTTTTAGAGCGTCAAATTAAATTTCATTATTGTTTATCACGTCGTATGCTCGTATAAATGCGATTTGACCAACAGGTAGTGGCTGGTATAGATTAATTATAATATTAGTGGCTCTATTCGTACACAGTTATTCATTACGGATTTAAGCTAAGCTTGTCTTGTGGACGCCCGGACCAAATTCATACTTGGATACGGCAAATAATTTAGTAAGTCTACAATTGACAAAGTAAATTCTCCGTTGATCTGTGTTTTTTCGACTGTCATATCATAGCTAACTCTATTGTAGACCTATTTTTGCCCCTTTTGCCTGTACGCCTAACTATTAGTAGGTTGTATAGCTGCTAGAAAGCAACGTATGGACAGATTAGCTGACAAAAGCACAAACAAAAACCTTTTAACGATAACAGGTAAATAAAACCATTACGAACTCTAGTGAATAAGTAACTGAGTACTTGATCAGTGTGCGTCTAGACCACTGGATGAACGACAGTCTTGTATCTGTATCTATTTTGAATTATAGCGCTTCATTAAGATCACGGGCTATGGTCTAAAAGACTCTGAAAACCGCAACCATGATTCTGTTTTAGCTTAATCGGATATTATTTATTGTGCCACCTAACCTCTGCACGAGCTTCCTAGTCACAATTTATTAATGGAACCGCTATTGAACAAAGGCCTCCTAACCAGTGGGAACGTGGCGCGTCCTTCAGGAATTTGTCACACGGAACATGTCGGCTGGTCGAGATATATTGATTAGATAGCCATTGTGGTTACATAAAGACTCTTAACTTTTCTAAGCGAATTCACAAAAACTTGATCAGTTTTCCTAGCAAAAAAAAGTCTATCTCACTATACGTTGTTGTTACATCTAAGAAAAAACCTACCGAAAACTGATTAGAACTCTAGCGCATTTAACAGTGTTTGAAACAGCATGGCCTTTGACCAGCTAGCTGTAAATGAAAAAAAGGAGGGTTTGTTGATGACCCTGCTTATGCGCCCGATGTCAAAAGCCTTAATTTGTGGTATTATTTTTAGACGTTTGGGTCAAAGACAGTTAGCGGCTGAATAGATGTGCGATACATAGCTTATGCGAGCATGACAAATACTTTTTTCTCTATTGACTTCCGATCGTCTAGATCATTACACGGAGGTCCTTATACATCACTTTTTGTTTCACTTTCTTCATCAACTGTTAATCTGGAGCTTCACGCAAAAATATCAATCATTCTATTATACCAGGAGCGGCAAAAATAACACTTGTTGTTTATGATCTTCTATCTTACATGTGACGATCTAACATGCCCCTACAGGGCAGTTAGTCAAATTTTTATGACCCAAATATATTCAGGGCGTTGAATGATAAAGGGTTGATTTTTCGCATAATGATCCTTTATTTGTTCATCTATTTCGTGGAGATTTGCTTGTCGAGGATTATAAATTGGCTTTATTGGAATTAACAGCTATTTGAATTGCTATGATTTCCCTTCAGAATCACATACTTGCTGATGCCAAATTTGTCGACGACGATCTTCACTCTGCTGCCTTCAGTTAAATAGCGCAGCTGGTTAGAGGAACAGACTAGACGGACCTTCGTTTTGTTTTTGATAGTTCCCAAGGGATACCACGATAAAACTATTTTAAAACTCCTTATCTTAAAGTTCATATGTTAACAAAGTTTAGCAAAGAAGGCTTTTTCTCTTCGCAGGAGACTGTCTGAAAAAAAAAAGCCGTTTAATGTGCCTGGGAAAGAAAATGACGATGACAGCTAACAGCATATGTTGTGTTCATTAAAAAAGTTGGCCAGTCAGACTATGGTTTAGGGAAAAATTACAAACGTTTCTAATTAAAAACGACATTGTAACACGACCTAACTGATACTAACACTTGATAGTGATACTAACAAATAACAAATCGAAAACTAGAAAGCAAATTTTTTTCACAGGTAAAAAAAATATTAAAAAAAAACTTTTGTGCCTTATGCAATGCATACTAATGTTACTGTAACAGTACACACCTTTTACTCTGCGTAGTCTTAAGTACAAGCCATAGAATACGTAGCATGTCACATTATCCAACAAGAGTTAGCTTAACAGGAGCTTAACGTGCTTGGCACTTTTTTGCGGTACATATAATGTTTTTATAAGAAAATCATCGCATAAATCGTTGAGCTTCCATAAAGTGCTCGCAACTATACGCAGTCCTATAAAATATTATACTATAGGAGCTCACAGGACACTCTAATTTTCTAGCGTATTGGCTAAATTTAATTTCTATGTTATAGACATGACTGTGTTCAGATACCGAAAGATTTCCTAGGTCATTCACAGTAGTCCTTTAGCTTAAAATAGCATGTACTTCTGTTTGGTATGTCCATAAAGGTACCGCCATCTTTATACTAGAGTGCAGCGATCAAAGATCGTTGTTCAAATACAATGAAACTAATTTGGACAAGAAAGAAAAATACGATGATTGTTTTTACATATTTTATTTAACTGATGAATAAATTGACTTAAATTAATAAAAGGGTGCCCTAGCCATCTCAGCACCTATTTTCAACCTCGCACTGCCTCAGCAGTTTGTGCCTTGTAATGAGAAACCTACGTCCCACAAATCAGGCCTAATCTAAAATCAAGTATTTATTTCTTGCAATTTAATAGCCTACAGCAAACAGTATGTCTTGAGTGTTTAGTATGAAACGATTCATTTTTACGTCTAGAGAATAAGCTAGTCTGAAATGATCAGATCACTGTATGAAACTATACGTCGATGTGCCCAATAGGCTGCACCGTACGTAAACAACGGCGTCAGTGTTTTGTTCACGTTTCAAGAACGACCACCGGCAACGGCATGAATAGCCTTGGCCGACAAACAGTTTATGTGACCATGGTCACGCAGACGCCGCCCGTGTACTACTCTACCATTACCTTTAAGGGCCAGTGAAACCGTACGAAGCTAGTTTATAATGAAGGACACTATTGGGTGACTGCACTTAACGTCCTTTGATGTTTTCGTACTTCACGCGCCAAGAAGCTTTGTAAAACTTGAAACTCCAGTCATCCAATGCTCTACCTTGTCGCAAGGTGACCTCAGACTTAACGCTTGATTTTAGTTGATTATCCAACTGCTTTATTTATGGATGTTCGCTCAAAAATTCGAGTTCTCACGACAAATCTTTATATAACATCAGACATTAGCTGTTTAGATCATGTTTTATTAAAGAATTTTTGGTAGAAGTAATCGACAAAGAAACATATTTGACCGTGCTTCTTCGCCACCCTTTATTTTTAATTATTTATTATGATATGCCTTTATTATATGATTTGGCAGACATAAGCTGTTTCTTTTTTAGGCCTAAATGACAGCATGTGATACCGGTCAGAAATCAGTCAAGAATTAAACATCACTAGCTAGAACCGAGGCTTGATTTAGTACGGAAGTCTGAAAAAACGTCTGTTGCCGCTTTTGTCTCAAGACGCCTTGTAAATTTCTTGTCCGTCGGATCTGTTATCTGTTTTAGATAAAGGTATCAAAATAACACGATAATGACATGGCGGAAAATGTACCAAAGATTCAGCTGAGATTGGGTAATAAAATAATTGTCATAAGATAATAATAATAAAAAAAGATCTGTCGCAGAACCAACAGAGTATGTCATAATACTAAATCTACTATCAGTTAAATTTTTTTTTACCTATATTGCAGAATAGAATAAAACCTTTCACATTCACGCAATGAAAGCCTCTTTGAAAGTTCTCAGATTATTTTTGCGGTTCGTATCCCTCCCAATTAGTCATTATTTTGCTCGGCAGTCATTACTGCTAACAAAGGTCGACCTTGCTTGGTTGCGGTTATCTTCTAACACTGCATAATCTTACTTTGCTATACTTGTGAGTTCATCTTTCAACAAATGAATTTTATCCAACCAAAACTGCCGTC